GCCACACCGGCCTTCTCCCTCAGCTGAAGTGCCGTCAAACCTCCAAAGCTCATCTGATTGGGGTTTAGGGTTTAGGGTTTAGGGTTTAGGGTTTAGGGTTTAGGGTTTTAGGGTTTGGGCTGGCACGGCCGTAGCAATAAGAGCCCAAAGCCTAGAAATCCGAAGCCCGAAAGGACAGCTTTAAAAGAAGCTTTAAGGGTTTCCGGGGCTGATCCTANNGGTTTAGGGTTCCTTTAAGGGCTCTTTGGATCCTTTGCGGTTCCTTGAATAGGAGTCCTTGCAAAAGGTCTTTCGAAGGGCTCCTTGAACTGGGATTCGAGCTACGGGTTCTCGCATGGAGGAGGGTTTAGGGTTTAGGGTTTAGGGTTTAGGGTTTAGGGTTTAGGGTTTAGGGTTTAGGGTTTAGGCCAGCAATGCAGCTGCGTGAAGAATTTGACTGGGGTTCCTTGAGGCCCTCCCAAGGGTTCTTTACGGGGTATTGTCAGGCATACCTTGGGGGTTCAGTACCACGGCCTTAATAATCAGGGTAGGGTTGTGGGCATAATATATTATACCAAAAACCAAAACCCCAAAGCAGAGGACCATTTATTCTTCAGGCTTCTGTAGTAGCCCAAAAGCCCCCGTGGTAGCCCGAAAGCCCCCTAAACCCTAAACCCTAAAGCCTAAACGCTTCTGTAGTAGCCCGGAAGCCCTTCAGAAAGATAGATAGGAGACAGACCCATCTAAGGCTCACGGTTCCAGGTCTGGGCATTAGTAGGGGTTTGTGTGGTTTGGGGCTGGGTTTAGGCTTGATAATAGGGCTAAGATTTCAAGATATGCTACTCGTAGGAGAAAGCACAGAAAACCCTACCCCCAGGGGGGCGTTCCTGCCCCGCGCTTCGCGAACATCCACACCAAGGCAGAAAGTTCGCTTCTGTCCTGTGGGGCTTTGGGTTATCCGCGATAGTCTATGGGAAACTGTCAATATCACGGTCTTTTTGGGGAGCCCTACATAATTCTACGCTTGGGAGCCCGAACCCCAATTTGGAGAACCACCCATCTACCCCAGTGTTGCTTATATTTCAGATACCCGGAAGCTCTAGTAGGAAGCTAAGTCCCAGTGTCCCATGGTCTTGTTGCTCATACCCTAAACCCGAAACCCTAAATCCCTAAACCCTAAACCCAAACCCCTAAACTCTAAACCGTAAACCCCAAAACCCCAAACCCCAAAACCCTAAACCACAAAAATACTAAAATACTAAAACACTAATATCCTACTCTAGCCTAGCAAGCCGCCTTGGGGCTCGGGTTGTAGCTTGAGAGCCAAGTACAAGCACAAGCCGGACGTAGGAGACTTGACACATTTTCGTACTGGGTTTGGGGCTTTGGGTTTTGGGGTTCAGGGTTTAGGGTTTGGGTTTTGGGTTTTGGGTTTGGGGTTGAGGGTTTAGGGTGTGTAGACAGTGTGCGCGCGGTGGGTGCGCCTTTTACTTTCGGAATAGGGGCGCACCCACTAATCGCG